TCGCTAATCTACTTTTCAAGAATCTTGTGTAGATAAAGAAAAATGAGATCAATCCACCCACAATCATAGAATCATAGAACCTTAAAAGACTGCACGATCCACCTGGCCCAACCCCTTGCCATGCAGGAATACACGACTAAAGCATTTCCAAGACATGATCATCCAACCTCAGTTTAAAGATCTCCAGAGAAGGAAAGTCCAACAAATGGTGCTGTGTTTCTATTTGGGAAGTAGTGTTAAAATGCAACAAGTCATCCTGTTTGGATCACTAAAATATTGGTTAGTTTGCTATCCAAGCAACTCATTACAGTTTGTGTTCTACGTAGCGCATTATCATGACCCAGAAACAGAATCACTGGCTCAGCAATATTTTGCTATCAACAAAGATACACAAGCCCTTGTTAGCTCTCCAAGATTTCAACAGCCCTAAAACTTCCAAAATAGATTGAAACTTTTTCATTATAAAAATGCAAAGTAGATACAACAGCCTTCCTAGGCTGAAATGAAAAGTAGGACATTCCTGAGAAGAGACAGATTTCAAAACATTGTTTGCACAGTTTTCTCGCCCTGATTGCTTCACATTTGCCCAGAAACCTGCAATGTAGAGAAACTCACCCTGTACTAGTAACCAAAGATGGCTGTGTCATAGCTAAGCCTCCAGCCCAATTTTTTTTTCACTTGATCCCCTTTGTCGTTCTCTCTTTCTCTCTCGCCTGCCATTGCCATTTTTTTTTAACATGCAAGTTGCCATGAAAAATTTGTTAATGAAATATTTGCTTAGAAGTCTGCTCTGGGCTAGGCTGATAACCTATCTGTGTTTGAGTTTGGCTTCCCATATTCTAAATACTCATCTTCTCTCTGTTTAGCTTATTGATTGGTTTGGCAGGAAAAGCAGCCTTGTCATCAGTGACCAAGGTCGAACTAAACAAAAAGGGACAGGAGGGGAGGAGCGGGAGGGAGATGGAGATGGAGAAGAGGGGGGAGGGATAAAGTAAAAGTTGGACTTAGGAGCTCAATGAAGCAAGAATTGAAGATCTGACCTGCCAGAACTTTTCTTAAATAGGCAGAACAGTTCACAGATCATCAAGCCCTTCATATCCATAGAAGGAAAGATCTGAAAAGCCTGAGAAGTATGGGAATTCTCTTTCACTCTTGCCAATATAACGATTTCAAAAGCAACATTTGTAGTGATGGACGGGGGCTTCTTTGTCAGTGGGACAGTGAAACTTCTCTAGGTTTTAATCCAAATATTAAAGAAAGTTTTCAAGGTGCCACACCTATTGTGTCGTGGATGGAGTTCAGCAGCCTGGGTTGCTCTTTTAAATGTTCAGACTATAACCTGGAACAGGCTCATCCTCTCTACCACTGGACATGAGTGGCAATCCTGTCAGAGGCTGGATTCTATCAGTGGTATGACCAAAGCACCACAGACCAGTAGCAGTAGGTCAGGGACAGGAACAGGAAAATGTGCATGTACTTTGACATTCACTGGGAGGATTTTTGCACTATAACATTTGAGGGAGGAGGTAATCTGGAAGGACAGCAAATGGGGTAAAATAGGTAAGATAAAATGCAGCTACCTTGGAAGTTTTCACCAGGAAGTTTTAAGATAGGCATCAGTTCTCCTGTTTGTGATATGACAACTGAGACCCAGCACACAGGAATATCACTGAGAAGTGGTGGGGTGCAGACTGCACCAGATGACACTATAAAGGGGGAGGGGGATTCCATTGCTCCCCAAACATCTCCCATTTGGTAGAAAAGGGCTGTGGTGTCCCTATAAAACCCTGGAGCTCAGTAAAATAGATGTGAATGGGGCAATGCTCAATGGGTGGAGAAAAAAGATGCCTCAGGGTATTTTTTAATGACTCTTTAAATTTTCTTTAAAAACATGACATCTTACCAAATTTTCACTTTAATCACATGAAACTATATAAATGTGAACACATTGAGGCTGTGCATATGCTATTATAATTTAAAGGTATAATTTTAATGTTGCTAGTTGTTTATGTCACAACCATTGCCATTACATTCAGTGATACATAGAATTATGATTTACAAGTAACATTAGTACAAAAAATATTACTAAGGATTTTATATGGTTGGGTATGGGAAGAGGTCAATGGCTATATGACACCATGAGTTACCACACTGGGTGATGCCAATCCTAGTGGTGCCACTTCTAGCACATACAGCTGATGCATGTGCTTGTACACTCTTGGTAGCTCATCTCCCTTGGACTTAGACCAATTGGTCACTGTTCCAGCAATGCAGTGAAGTAGGTATTTCCTCTCATGATTTTAACAGTTTTCTTGTGATCGCGAAGTGATTCACTACCAGAATTCACCCTTTGCCTATGTCCACAACTGCCATATATAGAGAGATACACAGTATCATGATCTAGATATAAAATCTCAGAGTTGGAAGAGTGCCATCCAGTCCAACCGCCTGGTGTGCAGGAATATACAATCAAATCACTCCTGACATATCCAGAACTTGGAAAAATTACTTTGCTGAAGTATAGCTACAAGAATTCCTTACCACTGGCTATGCTGATCAAGGATTCTGGGATCTATAGTCCAAAAAAAGTTGCCAAACATTCACTGTAGATCTCTAATGCCTCTACTAATTCTTGAATGTGTTTTGTTAGGATTAATAGTGGGATGTTTTCTAGTGCTCTGCCTTAGGCAGCAAAATGTTGAAGTCTGGCTCTGTGGGTTGGGCCAAGAAGGAAGTAAATGGCCATAGTGAAAGAAATGCAAAAGAGAGGGGCCCATTGATGGCATCCCCCCCCCCTGCAAAATAATTTATTTATTGTCAGTTTCTCTCAGGGCAGGGGGAGTATTAGTATTCCATTTGATCATTGCCTGTGTGCCTTGAACTGTACCTCTTTTTCACCAGGTTGCAACAAATAAAGGCTATATACCAGCTATATATTCAGCAGTTTCCAGGTATATTGTACTATAACTCCTATTTTCTCTGGTCACTGGCCATGCTGTCTGGGATGAATGTAACTTGTAGTCCAAACTATAGCTGAGTTGAGGAAAGCTGCTATATACAAGTGGATAATTCACTGTTGCTTTTTACTTGACTCATCTCCCACCTTGCTCCATTTATATTTTAAGCTCTGAATTTCCAAGTATTCTTTGGTTCTTTCTTTCAGCTGCTGTGTATTTCAGTCATCCTTCTTAGGCTCTGTGTCACTCTTGCACTGCAGATTGTGAACTGTTTACTTTGATAAGCCTGATTTTCTTTTTAGGAAATGGCAGTTTTCCTGGAAATGAAATCAGTTTAAAGTAATCAAGAGGCCTCTAGTGGCTTATCGTGTCAGAGGAACTTTCCTCTGAGGTTATGCCTATAAAGTTATGTAGAAATACCCATCGGGTAAGAGAAGAGACAGAGGATCAGAATATCTAGCCATCTTATATTGGGAGCCAATAGCTGTTCTGCTATACCAAACTTTGGTATTTATGAATCATTTCCTTGAGATCGGATGAACAGCATTTTGCACTGGACAATTGAAATGCCCAGAGCAGCAGACCAGAGGGGTGCCTGCCTTCCTGTGTGCTTATAAGCAGGAAAGAAATGTCAATGTGGTGAGCTGTGTCCCTTTGACCTAGCTGCTGAGAGAGAGCTTATTCCAGCTCCAACTTAATCCACAATGAGAAATGCTTTCAGAGTGAGCTACTATGGATCATCAACAGAATTCCTCCCAAATTTTGTCCAGTTGGCAAGCTTTTATAGAACAGCTTAGAATTCCAGATTTTATTTATTTAATTTTTTAAAGGAAACAGCTAAAGTTCCATACTCACAGTTAGACCTATTTCATACCATGAAGAATCAGTCCCTCTGTTTCCAATGACCAGATTGTGAATATCACTTCTGCCACCAAAATGGCACTGACTACATGTAGTGGGATGGGCAGGCTTCAACAAGCTGGAAGAAGTAGGAAAAATATCTCTAGATGAAAACTATAAGTGTGCAGGAACAGAGCATTGTTGACAGAATATGCTCCGAATGTGAAGATTCTATATAGCTATCAGAGCAAATTACCCTTGAATTATATAGAACCATAACAGATGACAATTCAAAAAGGGTGTTGAAAAACTGGAGCGTGTCCAGAGAAGGGCAACTAAAAGGGTGAAGGGTCTGGAAACCATGCCCCACGAGGAATGACTTAGGGAACTGGGTATGTTTAGCCTGGAGAAGAGATGGTTAAAAAATGATATGATAGCCCTGTTTAAATATTTGAAGGGATGTCATATTGAAGAGGGTGCTAGCTTGTTTTCTGCTGCTCCAGAGAACTGGACCCGGAAGAATGGATGCAACCTACAGGAAAAGAGAGTCCACCTCAAAATTAGGAGGAACTTTCTCCTCCTTTGGAGGTCTTTAAACAGAGGTTGGATGGCTATCTGTCAGGGATGGTTTGATTTTGAGTTCCTGCATGGCAAGGGGTTGGACTGGATGGCCCTTGTGGTCTCTTCCAACTCTATGATTCTATGATTCTATGATGTAGGCATAAGTGACTTGGCAGTAAAATCATGAGACACTGGATTGGTATGTGTATATATTATATTATTATTTATAATACACCTTTCCACCCAGAATTTGGAGTCAGGGTACAAAATAAAACAGGTACAGATTTTTAAAATTAACATAGGTGAATAAAAAAAGTTTGTTTTATTTATTTGTTTATTTGTTTGATTTATTTCCTACTTTTTCCCTGAATGGCACACAACACACTTTACAATATAAATTAAAACAAAACATTTAAAATAATATGGAGTACAAAAGTTTAAAAAGTATTAAACCAAACATCCAACAAAGTGATTGTTAAATGTAATTAAACCACCTATAAAAATAAAAGGAATTTAAAATATTTGTTGTTGTTGTGTGGCTTCAAGTTGTTTCCACCTCATGGTGATCCTAAGGTGAATGTGTCATGAAATTTTCATGGCAAGATTTCAGAGATTTGCCATTGCCTTTTCCAGTGGGTTTCATGGTTGAGCTTGGAATTGAACTCTGGTCTCTGGAGTTGTAGTTCAGCACTCAAACCACTACGCCATCCTGGCTCTTATTTAAAACATACCAAAGAAAGGAGATTAAAAAATAATACAACGTACTAGCAAGAGTTCTTTCCTTTAAAATTATATGTTTCCAAAAGCCTGTGCAAACAAATTATCTTCACCTGCTCATGGAAAGATGATAAAAAGGGGACCAGTTTAACCTCCTGGGAATTTGTCTATACTGAACCATCAGAAAGCAAAATTGTCACTATCTCAGCCATCCTTGTGGACAATTTTGGAGCATTTTGGATTTCTGGATAAAAGATACTCAACCTGTAATATAAAACAACAATAAGACACAAACACACCAAGCATTTAAACCAATAGCAAACTGTTAGCGTGGTTATGCAGCACATGAAGATCCACGTTAGCATGCAGCATCAGGAACACAATCTTCTCAGATGCAGCCAGTAGTGTGTCAGCT